AACAAACTTCTACAGCACAGCCAGATAAGTAGGTACAGCCTGGCTTAACACAGAAAAAACTTGAATGACCACCCTCATTTGTTGTCACAAATATTACATTTGTAAGGAGGAGGAGGATGAAGAAGAAGAAGGAGGAGATGAAGAAAAAGAAGAGAAGATGGAGGAGGAGAAGAAAAAGAAGAAGGAGGAGGAGGAAAAGAAAAACAAAGAGGAGGAGGAAAAGAAGAAGAATAATTACTGGGTTGATTTGTTACCAATTCAAAAAGAATGGGTCTTATTACTCTAGGATTTTATGTCTAAACTGGTCAACTTCTACTATAAAGGAAATACAGGACCCAATCAGTCATGTCGATAGTGATGTCACTAAATACAAATATAGCTTGTTTTACTACAGCCATATCTGGTCTGTTGTACAACCTATATCTGGTCTGATTTACAGCCATACATGGTCTGTTTTACAGCCAAATGTGGTCTGTTTATTCTATGCTACCTGGTATCTATCACAGCTTTCCAGCAACTACTCTCTATATTCATTCTATCAACAGTTTCTCTACACAGACAGTACAGTATGTTCACTATATCAACCAACGGTTACTCAACAGTCTTGTATGTTTACTCTGTAGATAACATACAACAGTGCATAAACTATGTACAAAATAAATAAGATAAACAAAACTGGAGGCAAGTACAGAAAGAAAAACATCAGCAAAGTTACGCCTGGAATGTTCTAGAATGTCAAGATTGCTAGCAAAATACAGCCTTCAACACAAGACAACAAAAGTAAGCACAGAAACAGTGGCTACAGTAGCTACTGACATACATCAAGGAAACCATGCTTAAAGTAGCTGCTGATATACGTCAGGGGGGACCATGGTTAAAGTAGCAATTAATATATGTCAACGACGCTGATGAATAATGTTGAGAGGGGAATCTGAGCGCCTATGGATGTGTCCAGAGTGTTGTGAAGATAATCTAACTCATAACTCATAAATGTTGCAGGAACCCTGGCTATGGTAGCTACTGTCACATGTCAGGGGGACACTGACTACAGAAGCTACTGACATATTTCAGAGAAATTCTGGCTACAGTAGCTATTGAAATATGTCAGGGGAACCATGGTTTCAGTAGCTGCTGACATATTTCAGGGAAATTCTGGCTACAGTAGCTACTAATATATGTCAGGGGAACACTGGCTACAGTAGCTAATGATAAATGTTGCAGGAACCCTGGCTATGGTAGCTACTGTCATATGTCGGGGACATTGACTACAGAAGCTACTGATATATTTCAGGGAAATTCTGGCTACAGTAGCTACTGATATATGTCAGGGAAACCGGCTACAGTAGTTATTGATATATATCAGGGGAACCGGCAACAGTAGCTACTGATATATATCAGGGGAACCATAGTTTCAGCAGCTACTGACAAATATCATGGAAACAATTATGACAATCATAATAAAGCAAGTGAAAAAAATATACATTGACATCTGAGAATGTACTAGGTTGTAGATCTTTGTCAAGATGGCTGTCAAATATAGACATTCCCTGATTAATCAGTCAACGGATCTAAAGCAAGAATTAGTTTAAAATATAAAACTACTACTTTTTTTTCTAGAAAAACTGTTATTAAAATATGTACTTATATGTTTTGGCTTCAACACAGTAGTGCACCTCTAGTGCAATACGCAACCATCAACAGTGTATCTAACTTTACAATAGTGCACTCAAAATTACATCCAACTATATAATAGAATACTCAACGTTACAAAGGCATCCATCCATACAATAACACACTCCTATACTCTTCTATACAACATTGCACTCAGGCAAACATTTGTGCAATCAATGTCACAACCGTACGCCCAAACATACTTCAGAATAAGCAACCATAAACAACACATCGAACCTTACAACACTGCCCCTAACCATATCCCAGTGCACTCAACTATCCAACATACACAACAATGTTGTTATCCATATATACACAAACATTTGCCATTCATGGAATTCCACCAGTAGACAACATAGTTGTAAATCTGTACACATTTTATTTACATTTTACATGTACATCTTAAAGTACATCAGTTCCGCAGTAGACGAGTACACACATTTGTGGGGTCACACAACTCACACACAGCTGTGAGGTCACACAACTCGCACACAGCTGTGGGGTCACACAACTTGCAGTACTTACAAATTTGAGAAATCACATTACAAAACTTTTAATACAAAAGATATTTGAGCATATACATCCATTGAGCATGCACAGCTCTGAGCGAACAACCTCTGAGCTCTGACTACACACAGCTATGTATTAACACAGCTCTGAGCGAACAACCTCTGAGCTCTGACTACACACAGCTATGTATTAACACAGCTCTGAGCGAACAACCTCTGAGCTCTGACTACACACAGCTATGTATTAACACAGCTCTGAGCGAACAACCTCTGAGCTCTGACTACACACAGCTATGTATTAACACAGCTCTGAGCGAACAACCTCTGAGCTCTGACTACACACAGCTATGTATTAACACAGCTCTGAGTTCACACAGCAGTGAGTACACACAGCTCTGACTACACACAGCTATGTATTAACACAGCTCTGAGTTCACACAGCTTGAGTATACACAGCTTTAAGTTCACACAGTAGTGAGTACACACAGCTATGTATTAACACAGCTCTGAGCGAACACAGCTTTATATAAACACAGCTCTGAGTTCACACAGCTTTATATAAACACAGCTCTGAGTACACACAGCTATGTATTACCACAGCTCTGAGTTCACACAGCAGTGAGTACACACAGCTCTGAGTTCACACAGCAGTGAGTACACACAGCTCTGAGTTCACACAGCAGTGAGTACACACAGCTCTCACACAGCTATGTATTAACACAGCTCTGAGTTCACACAGCAGTGAGTACACACAGCTCTGAGTTCACACAGCTATGTATAAACACAGCTCTGAGTTCACACAGCAGTGAGTACACACACCTCTCACACAGCTATGTATTAACACAGCTCTGAGTTCACACAGCAGTGAGTACACACAGCTCTGAGTTCACACAGCTATGTATTAACACAGCTCTGAGTTCACACAGCTATGTATTAACACAGCTCTGAGTTCACACAGCTATGTATAAACACAGCTCTGAGATCACACAGCTATGTATAAACACAGCTCTGAGTTCACACAGCTATGAATAAACACAGCTCTGAGTTCACACAGCAGTGAGTACACACAGCTCTGAGTTCACACAGCTATGTATTAACACAGCTCTGAGTTCACACAGCTATGTATTAACACAGCTCTGAGTTCACACAGCTATGTATAAACACAGCTCTGAGTTCACACAGCAGTGAGTACACACAGCTCTGAGTACACACAGCTCTGAGTTCACACAGCAGTGAGTACACACAGCTCTCACACAGCTATGTATAAACACAGCTCTGTATAAACACAGCTCTGAGTTCACACAGCTATGTATAAACACAGCTCTGAGTTCACACAGCAGTGAGTACACACAGCTCTCACACAGCTATGTATAAACACAGCTCTGAGTTCACACAGCAGTGAGTACACACAGCTCTCACACAGCTATGTATAAACACAGCTCTGAGTTCACAAAGCAGTGAGTACACACAGCTCTGAGTTCACACAGCAGTGAGTACACACAAATCTCTAGTAAAGATTCAGTAAAATGAAACTTTCTGTTTTTTTCAGTTTAAAAAAACAAAAGCTCAACATTCTGGTCATCATATGAACCCTGCGGACATAGACACAAACTGGCATAGATAACCCACGGTCCCATCCCTCCCATTTCAATGTTTGCTGTACCCCAAAGTTATATTTCCCTGAGGTGATGTCTCTCACACACACATGCACATATACATACACATATAAACATACATCCACTCACTCAAGCCCCCTAAACACCCACTCTTACTATCCTACCCCCAACCTGACAGCTATATCAAGGCAGCCTAGGACATGTATGGCTGTATTCTACCACTCTCCTGCTGTCCTTTCTAGGAAAGTTGTTGCTGTCTGCAGTCCCACTCCCTGTCAGCCTCAAGGGTTGCTATCTGCTGTCCCACTCCCTGTCTGCCACAAGTGTTGCTGGCTGCTGTCCCACTCCCTGTCTGCCACAAGTGTTGCTGTCTGCTGTCCCACTCCCTGTCTGCCACAAGTTTTGCTGGCTGCTGTCCCACTCCCTGTCTGCCACAAGTGTTGCTGTTTGCTGTCCCACTCCCTGTCTGCCACAAGTGTTGCTGTCTGCTGTCCCACTCCCTGACTGCCGCAAGTGTTGCTGGCTGCTGTCCCACTCCCTGTCTGCCTCAAAGTGTTGCTGTCCCACTCCCTGTCTGCCACAAGGGTTGCTGTCTGCTGTCCCACTCCCTGTCTGCCTCAAGTGTTGCTGTCTGCTGTCCAACTCCCTGTCTGCCACAAGTGTTGCTGTCTGCTGTCCCACTCCCTGTCTGCCACAAGTGTTGCTGTCTGCTGTTCCACTCCCTGTCTGCCACAAGAATTGCTGTCTGCTGTCCCACTCCCTGTCTGCCTCAAGTGTTGCTGTCCCACTCCCTGTCTGCCACAAGAGTTGCTGTCTGCTGTCCCACTCAGTGTCTGCCTCAAGTGTTGCTGTCCCACTCCCTGTCTGCCACAAGGGTTGCTGTCCGCTGTCCCACTCCCTGTCTGCCTCAAGTGTTGCTGTCTGTTGTCCCACTCCCTGTCTGCCACAAGGGTTGCTGTCTGCTGTTCCACTTCCAGTATGGGACAGTTGTTGTTGTCTGTTATCCCACTCAGTCTGGAACAGGTGTCACCCTCAGCAGTCTCATTCTCTTGTTTTATTCCCAGCCAGGGACAAGAGTTGCTCCTGTAGTCCCGCTCAGTCCAGGGCGGGTGTTCTCGGAAGTCCTCTTCCCAGTCTTAAGACAAGCATTGCTGTCTCTGTTCCTATCTCTAGTGCCCTATTTGCCTCCCCTACCATACCATAGCTATACCAGCGCAGCCTGGGACATGTGCTGTTGTATGCTGTCCCCGGTTTGAGCTCGGAATGTCTGTATGCTGTTCATGATCTTCTTCTGGTGGCCCACCAAGCTTATGCCCATGTTCAAGAGGTCGCGGACAGTCACATGACGTACCTGTGAAACAACAGACAGAAACAGAAATCACATTAATTTTGGATGTTATGCACAATCACATGATATACCTGTGTGACAATGGGAGAAAATGTCACAGAAAATAAAGGGAGAAAATGTCACAGAAAATAAAGGGAGAAAATGTCACAGAAAATAAAGGGAGAAAATGTCAGAGAAAATAAAGGGAGAAAATGTCACAGAAAATAAAGGGAGAAAATGAAAATTTTACAGAAAATAAAGGGAGAAAATGTCACAGAAAAAAAGGGAGAAAATGTCAGAGAAAATAAAGGGAGAAAATGTCACAGAAAATAAATGGAGAAAATGTCACAGAAAATAAAGGGAGAATATGTCACAGAAAATAATGGGAGAAAATGTCACAGAAAATAAAAGGAGAAAATGTCACAGAAAATAAAGGGAGAAAATGTCACAGAAAATAAAGGGAGAAAATGTCACAGAAAAAAAAGGGAGAAAATGTCACAGAAAATAAAGGGAGAAAATGTCACAGAAAATGAATGGAGAAAATGTCAGAGAAAATAAAGGGAGAAAATGTCAGAGAGAAAAAAGGAGAAAATTTAACAGAAAATAAAGGGAGAAAATGTCACATAAAATAAAGGGAGAAAATGTCACATAAAATAAAGGGAGAAAATGTCACAGAAAATAAAGGGAGAACATTTTACAGAAAAAAAGGGAGAAAATGTCACAGAAAATAAAGGGAGAAAATGTCAGAGAAAATAAAGGGAGAAAATGTCATAGAAAATAAATGGAGTTAATGTCACAGGAAATAAAGGGAGAATATGTCACAGAAAATAAAGGGAGAAAATGTCACAGAAAATAAAGGGAGAAAATGTCAGAGAAAATGAAGGGAGAAAATGTCACAGAAAATAAAGGGAGAAAATGTCACAGAAAATAAAGGGAGAAAATGACACAGAAAATGAAGGGAGAAAATGTCACAGAAAATAAAGGGAGAAAATGTCACATAAAATGAAGGGAGAAAATATCAGAGAAAATAAAGGGAGAAAATTTCAGAGAAAATAAAGGGAGAAAATGTCACAGAAAATGAAGGGAGAAAATGTCACAGAAAATAAAGGGAGAAAATGACACAGAAAATGAAGGGAGAAAATGTCACAGAAAATAAAGGGAGAAAAATTCAGAGAGAAAAAAGGGAGAAAGTGTCAGAGAAAATAAATGGAGAAAATGTCAGAGAAAATAAAGGGAGAAAATGTCACAGAAAATAAAGGGAGAAAATGTCACAGAAAATAAAGGGAGAAAATGTCACAGAAAATAAAGGGAGAAAATGTCACAGAAAATAAAGGGAGAAAATGTCACAGAAAATAAAGGGAGAAAATGTCAGAGATAATAATAAATAAGCTGTGTGCTGTCTCTACAATGAAAGTTGGCTACAGAACACCAATGCTTTCTCTGGGTTTATTGCATGGTAAGGCCCTAAACTCTTCCACAGTGCGACTCTCCTATTGGTGTTCACAAATTTATTTCTCCTAGAGATTTCAGAATATCAGCATGGTCCATGGCTCATCCGCCCTCCACAGTAGTGTAGCCCAAGAGCTTCTTACATGGCGAATTACAGACCCATCTGTGTAAATGACAGCATCCCCCTCTAGAGAATTCTTGAAAATCAAAGCCTGCACTTCTGCCACAACAGCGGCTGGACTTTTTTTTGGTAAATTTTCTGTCTAGTCGGAGGCAAACAGAAAAGGTCGTACAGCAAATCTGTTGGCACTTTTACCCATACCAGATTCTATGTCTTCAAGGGAACACACCTGCTGAATAATATCCTTGGCCTGACCTTTCTATGATTTTCCTCTTTTCAACCTGCTGACTTTTTTCTTCTTAATTTAACCATGCAGCGGATGTCGTGTGTATGTGGGAAGTAAAGGTGGCTGGCAGGATGCTGACCACATCATCCATAAAGTGTTAATTGGTCTAAAAAATATAGGTCTAGTCCTATATGGCCAATATGCTTGAAGGTGTTAAAAAAAATGGTCTTTTGGGGTGTTTGGAAAAGGGGGGGGGGGGGGAATAACATATTTTAATTTTCAATAAATGTACTTTTCCCACATTTTGTTTTAAATCAGACACACTTAAAATGGAGAGGGATTAGTTTAAGTGTCTTCTTATCAATATCGGAGAGGTGTTCCCAGAACCGATTCAGATGGGACATTAAACTACACATTAGATTCAGGAGAGACATTAAACTACACATTAAATTCAAGTGAGAAGTTAAACTATTTACATTAGATTAAAGTTAAAGATAGAAGATCATGCATTAGATTCAAGTGAGACATAAGACCACACAAGCCAGTTTTTGTATGGAAAAACCAAAGTGATTTTAGGTGATTACCTGGTCCATGTTGCTGAGTCCAGCAGACAGAAACAGGCTAAGGTATCTCTCCATTTTGATGGACATCAGCCAGTCCTCCACAGTGGACAGGGAGGTCATGTCTGGGGCGCTGGGGTCAATGAAGTTGTGAGGTCTGCCAGAGAAGTAGATCAAGGTTTATAGAGATGTTAATTTACAAATGTCTTCTGACATCAGTCTTTGAACAATTATCTTTGTACATCTCTGTTCAACTGTCTCCTTACCACTGGCTGCAGCAAACATTACCACCTCCTGCAGCAACCATTACCACCTCCTGCAGCAACCATTACCACCTCCTGCAGCAACCATTACCACCTCCTGCAGCAACCATTACCACCTCCTGCAGCAACCATTACCACCTCCTGCAGCAACCATTACCACCTCCTGCAGCAACCATTACCATCTCCTGCAGCAACCATTACCATCTCCTGCAGCAACCATTACCACCTCCTGCAGCAACCATTACCACCTCCTGCAGCAACCATTATCACCTCCTGCAGCAACCATTACCACTTCCTGCAGCAACCATTACCACTTCCTGCAGCAACCATTACCACTTCCTGCAGCAACCATTACCACCTCCTGCAGCAACCATTACCACCTCCTGCAGCAACCATTACCACTTCCTGCAGCAACCATTACCACTTCCTGCAGCAACCATTACCATCTACGGAAGCAACTATTGCCACCTCTGGAAACAACCATTACCACCTCCTGCAGCAACCATTACCACCTCCTGCAGCAACCATTACCACCTCCTGCAGCAACCATTACCACTTCCTGCAGCAACCATTACCATCTACGGAAGCAACTATTGCCACCTCTGGAAACAACCATTACCACCTCCTGCAGCAACCATTACCACCTCCTGCAGCAAACCATTACCACCTCCTGCAGCAACCATTACCACCTCCTGCAGCAACCATTACCACCTCCTGCAGCAACCATTACCACCTCCTGCAGCAACCATTACCACCACCTGCAGCAACCATTACCACCTCCTGCAGCAACCATTACCACCTCCTGCAGCAACCATTACCACCTCCTGCAGCAACCATTACCACCTCCTGCAGCAACCATTACCACTTCCTGCAGCAACCATTACCACTTCCTGCAGCAACCATTACCATCTACGGAAGCAACTATTGCCACCTCTGGAAACAACCATTACCACCTCCTGCAGCAACCATTACCACCTCCTGCAGCAACCATTACCACCTCCTGCAGCAACCATTACCACCTCCTGCAGCAACCATTACCACCTCCTGCAGCAACCATTACCATCTCCTGCAGCAACCATTACCACCACCTGCAGCAACCATTACCACCTCCTGCAGCAACCATTACCACCTCCTGCAGCAACCATTACCATCTCCTGCAGCAACCATTACCACCTCCTGCAGCAACCATTACCATCTCCTGCAGCAACCATTACCACCTCCTGCAGCAACCATTACCATCTCCTGCAGCAACCATTACCACCTCCTGCAGCAACCATTACCACCTCCTGCAGCAACCATTACCACTTCCTGCAGCAACCATTACCATCTACGGAAGCAACTATTGCCACCTCTGGAAACAACCATTACCACCTCCTGCAGCAACCATTACCACCTCCTGCAGCAACCATTACCACCTCCTGCAGCAACCATTACCACCTCCTGCAGCAACCATTACCACCTCCTGCAGCAACCATTACCACCTCCTGCAGCAACCATTACCACCACCTGCAGCAACCATTACCACCTCCTGCAGCAACCATTACCACCTCCTGCAGCAACCATTACCACCTCCTGCAGCAACCATTACCACCTCCTGCAGCAACCATTACCACTTCCTGCAGCAACCATTACCACTTCCTGCAGCAACCATTACCATCTACGGAAGCAACTATTGCCACCTCTGGAAACAACCATTACCACCTCCTGCAGCAACCATTACCATCTACGGAAGCAACTATTGCCACCTCTGGAAACAACCATTACCACCTCCTGCAGCAACCATTACCACCTCCTGCAGCAACCATTACCACCTCCTGCAGCAACCATTACCACCTCCTGCAGCAACCATTACCACCTCCTGCAGCAACCATTACCACCTCCTGCAGCAACCATTACCACCACCTGCAGCAACCATTACCACCTCCTGCAGCAACCATTACCACCTCCTGCAGCAACCATTACCACCTCCTGCAGCAACCATTACCACCTCCTGCAGCAACCATTACCACTTCCTGCAGCAACCATTACCACTTCCTGCAGCAACCATTACCATCTACGGAAGCAACTATTGCCACCTCTGGAAACAACCATTACCACCTCCTGCAGCAACCATTACCACCTCCTGCAGCAACCATTACCACCTCCTGCAGCAACCATTACCACCTCCTGCAGCAACCATTACCACCTCCTGCAGCAACCATTACCATCTCCTGCAGCAACCATTACCACCACCTGCAGCAACCATTACCACCTCCTGCAGCAACCATTACCACCTCCTGCAGCAACCATTACCATCTCCTGCAGCAACCATTACCACCTCCTGCAGCAACCATTACCATCTCCTGCAGCAACCATTACCACCTCCTGCAGCAACCATTACCATCTCCTGCAGCAACCATTACCACCTCCTGCAGCAACCATTACCACCTCCTGCAGCAACCATTACCACCTCCTGCAGCAACCATTACCATCTCCTGCAGCAACCATTACCACCTCCTGCAGCAACCATTACCACCTCCTGCAGCAACCATTACCACCTCCTGCAGCAACCATTACCACCTCCTGCAGCAACCATTACCACCTCCTGCAGCAACCATAACCACCTCCTGCAGCAACCATTACCACCTCCTGCAGCAACCATTACCACCTCCTGCAGCAACCATTACCACTTCCTGCAGCAACCATTACCACCTCCTGCAGCAACCCTTATCACCTCCTGCAGCAACCATTACCACCTCCTGCAGCAACCATTACCACCTCCTGCAGCAACCATTACCACCTCCTGCAGCAACCATTACCACCTCCTGCAGCAACCATTACCATCTCCTGCAGCAACCATTACCACCTCCTGCAGCAACCATTACCACCTCCTGCAGCAACCATTACCACCTCCTGCAGCAACCATTACCACCTCCTGCAGCAACCATTACCACTTCCTGCAGCAACCATTACAATCTACGGAAGCAACTATTGCCACCTCTGGAAACAACCATTTCCACCTCCTGCAGCAACCATTACCACCTCCTGCAACAACCATTACAATCTACGGAAGCAACTATTGCCACCTCTGGAAACAACCATAACCATCTCCTAACGCAACCATTGCCACCTCCTGCAGCAACCATTACCACCTCCTGCAGCAACCATTACCATCTCCGGAAGCAACTATTGCCACCTCTGGAAACAACCATTACCACCTCCTGCAGCAACCATTACCACCTCCTGCAGCAACCATTACCACCTCCTGCAGCACCTATCACCACCTCCTGCAGCACCTATCACCACCTCCTGCAGCAACCATTACCACCTCCTGCAGCACCTATCACCACCTCCTGCAGCAACCATTACCACCACCTGCAGCAACCATTACCACCTCCTGCAGCAACCATTACCATCTGCAGAAGCAACTATTGCCACCTCCTGCAGCAACCATTACCATCTCCAGAAGCAACTATTGCCACCTCTGGAAACAACTATTACCACCTCCTGCAGCAACCATTGCCACCTCCTGCAGCAACCATTACCATCTCCAGAAGCAACTATTGCCACCTCTGGAAACAACTATTACCACCTCCTGCAGCAACCATTACCACCTCCTGCAGCAACCATTACCACCTCCTGCAGCAACCATTACCATCTCCTGCAGCAACCATTACCACCTCCTGCAGCAACCATTACCACCTCCTGCAGCAACCATTACCACCTCCTGCAGCAACCATTACCACCTCCTGCAGCAACCATTACCACCACCTGCAGCAACCATTACCACCTCCTGCAGCAACCATTACCACCTCCTGCAGCAACCATTACCACCTCCTGCAGCAACCATTACCACCTCCTGCAGCAACCATTACCACCTCCTGCAGCAACCATTACCACCTCCTGCAGCAACCATTACCACCTCCTGCAGCAACCATTGCCACCTCCTGCAGCAACCATTACTACCTCCTGCAGCAACCATTACCACCTCCTGCAGCAACCATTACCACCTCCTGCAGCAACCATTACCACCTCCTGCAACAACCATTACCACTTCCTGCAGCAACCATTACCACCTCCTGCAGCAACCATTGCCACCTCCTGCAGCAACCATTGCCACCTCCTGCAGCAACCATTAGCACCTCCTGCAGCAACCATTGCCACCTCCTGCAGCAACCATTACCACCTCCGGAGGCAACTATTGCCACCTCCTGCAGCAACCATTGCCACCTCCTGCAGCAACCATTGCCACCTCCTGCAGCAAGCACTGCCTTTTTCTGCAACCATGCCTTGCATTGCTATTCTTAAAATGTCTAAACCAATGCAGTGTTTAACACAGTGACACGGTTTCTGTTTCCAAGATATGAGTATATTTTTTGTATATGAGTATATTTTATTCAATGGTGACATCTTGTAGACCTACAGTTTCTGTCTTGTCCATAATCCATGGTATTCTTTAAAAAAAGAAAAAAATAATTCAGATTACACAGAAAATATAATGAAATAACATGAACGTTTCAGGTGCTCACCGAGGTTTTGCTTGTTTCTGTAAAAGCTCCGGTGCACGTATGAGTTTATCCAGAGTTTGGACAATCTGTCCCAGCTTGGGTCTGTGGGACCGCTCTTTCTGCCAGCAGTCGAGCATCATCTGGTGGATGGCTTCGGGACAATCCTACAACATAAAACAACATTCCAGATTTCTGTAACATCCTCACACAGAATTATGGTGCTCACAGCCAAACAGGCAAGCTATGTGGCAACAGTTATTTGTCTGTGATAGCAGCAGGTGAAATGGATGTGTAAATAATGTGCTGTATCAGCAAGACTATATTGTAGCAACAATCAGCCTTTCTACAGTTCAAAAACAGTTGAAGGGGACTGAAATCATTCTTTCTAACCTACAGTGGCCATTGATGTGGCTAAAGTCCGCAGGATCCCAGACTTTGTGCTGTTTATAATTCTCTTTTCTCCCACGTCCAGACTTGGAAAAATGGCTGTGTCTCCTTTCTTTTGGATTCCCAATAAAGTAACAACTTTCTGTAATGTTTCACTTGAAAAGACTCAATTTTCCCCAAAACTAAGATGTGAATGATTAATTTAACATAAATGGTCATGAAGATGAAACTAACTGCGGCTGTTTTTAGTGACATTATTATAGAGATGTGAATACCAGCGAGGCAGAAGATGCAAATGAAACAATTGCTACATTATAAATGGCTGTAAATGTTAACACAGTGCACTCATAGACATAGTCAGATTATAATTAAAGGAGTGGACGACCTGGCTAGCAAACAGGACATGTCAAGTGACTATCTGATATCATATCTGAAAATGACTTCAGGTGTCTGTGACTTTGATTAGGAAATATGATTAGGAAAGAAATGTTTGTATGTTTCTATTCTCGGGAGAAGTAAAAGAGAGAGTAAACATGATGCGTGGTAATGGTACTTCTACACCTTAGGCTAGGAGACTATGAGCAACTGGGAGAGATTGGATGGCTTCTGCAGATGTAGGAAGATCTGTGAAACCTTCTAGTTAACCAAGGTAGGAAATGACCCACCCTTCACCGAACACACATCAACCTACCATAGGTGGGGGTAGCCGGTAGCCCTTCTCCACGGCTTTGATCACATCTTGGTTAGACCAGTTGTAGTACGGCCTCTCCCCGTAGGAAACAATTTCCCACATGACGACCCCGTAGCTCCACACGTCTGAGGAAGACGTAAACTTGCGGAAGGCAATAGCCTCAGGAGCTGTCCACCTGACTGGAATCTTGCCCCCAGAGGTGGTGTATGCCCCGTCCGTGGTGTCTGACTCAATCTCTCGGGAGAGTCCAAAGTCAGCAACTTTGCATACCAGAGTTTCGTTCACCAAAATATTTCTTGCTGCTAAATCCTGACAAGATAAGAAAAGAAAGGCATGTCATGAAATAGGCAAATATGTCAGATATCATAAATTCTTGTCACAAAATAGGCAAATATTTTAGATATCATAAATTCTTGTCACAAAATAGGCAAATATTCTAAATATCATCAACTGTTTTAATAAAATAGACAAATATTATAGATATCATAAATTCTTTTCAAAAATAGGCAAACATTCGAGACATTATACACTGTTGTCATACAATAGGCAACTTTTCTAGATATTATACATTTTTGTCACAAAATAGGTAACTATTATGGATTTCATAAATTTTGTCACAAAATAGGCAAATATTTTAGATATCATAAACTGTTTTCACAAAACAGGCAAACATTTTAGATAAAAATAAATTGTTGCCATAAAATAGACAAATATTCTAGATATCATAAACTGTTTTTACAAAATATCATAAAATGTTACAAAATAGGCAAATATCAGATATATCACACATGGCATTGTCAGACATATTGTTTATTTATAGTCCACACCATGAATGGTCGGCTGCCGGGTACAAGTCAGTTGGTCTCTGTAAAATAACTCAGAGCTCTGTGGTGTGACCATCAGTGGACAAGAGGTGCTATACATGATCTCTATCAGCTGCTGACTTGCAAAATTCATCTTTTATGACTAAGACTTGCATCTGAAAGAGCTCAGCAACCAACACATGATGTCAAAGTGTCAGGGGAGTTGAGAAGAAACAGATACTCACCCTATGCACAAATCCCATCTCAGAGAGGTACCTCATGCCTGATGCGATGCCTCTCATCATTCCAACCAGCTGCATGATGGTAAACCTGCCATCATTTTTCTGGAGAAAATGTATGTTTGACAAGTTAAACACCTGACTGGCTGGTTAAACACTTGACGAGATGCGCTAATGATTAATTAGGTTCTTGATAGGTTAAGCTCTTGGTGGTTCAAACACTTGACAAGTTAAACACCTGACTGGCTGGTTAAACAACTGACAAGATGCGCTATTGATTGATTAAGCACTTGATGGATTAGGTTCTTGATAAGTTAAGCTCTTGGTGGCTCAAACACTTGACAGGTTAAACACCTGATAGGTTGAACACTGGATGGGTTAACCACTTGACAGGTTAAACACATAACAGGTTAAATGCTTGATAGGTCAAGCTATTGACAGATAACATAGCTGATGGATTAGGCTCTTGACAGGTTAAACATCTGACAGATTAAGCTACAGAAATGTTAAGCATACGATAGGTTAAACACCTGACAGGTTAAACATCTGACAGATTAAGCTACAAAAACATTAAGCATACAACAGGTTAAACACCTGACAGGTTAAACAATTGATGGATTAGGCTCTTGATAGGTTAAACACTTGACTGGTTAAAACTTGACAGGTTAAACACTTGACTGGTTAAAAATTGACAGGTTAAACACTTGACTGGTTAAAACTTGACAGGTTAAACACTTGACTGGTTAAAAATTGACAGGTTAAACACTTGACTGGTTAAAACTTGACAGGTTAAACACTTGACATGTCAAACTCTTGACATGTTAACTACTTGATGGATTAGGCTCTTGAAAGGTTAGGTAGTTTACTGGTTAACACTTGACAGGTTAAACAATTGACAGGTTAAACCCTTGACAGATTAAACACTTGATGGTGATTACTTAACGGATTAAACACTTTATCAGCTAAGCACTTGATAGGTTAAGAACTTGACATGTTAAATGTTTGCAGAAATCATTATTGTCAATAGTTAGTCATTCAAATGGCTCTACCATCACACAGACACAGTTTCTTGTTAAAGGATGTGCTAGTGGGCAAAGTTGAGGACAAGAGGAACAAAAGGATGACAATGCTACATGTGGAGGGCATTTTTAAGAGAACATGAACAAACTTTTCCCCCCCTAAAAAAGGTTAAGAAGTTAGCATGCACAATCTTGAATGCCATGAAGATGCAGGGCAGAAGAGGTTACAACTTAGCGTAATTGTTGAGAGGGCATCTAATGAGGATGATATGTCATCACTGCCAAGTGACATCATTGCCAAGTGACATCATCATCAAGTTGTTCATCACCACAAAGTGCAAATACAATAACTGACAGCAACAAATGTCCTCAACATTGAATTATTGATGACTAAGTGATTTTATAAACAAGCGACATCATCAAGTTGTCATCACCACAAAGTGCAAGTACAATAACACAGAAACAAATGTCCTCCACATTTAATTATTGATGACTAAGTGATTTTATAAATAAGTGACATCATCAAGTTGTCATCACCACAAAGTGCAAGTACAATAACACAGAAACAAATGTCCTCCACATTTAATTTTTGATGACCAAGTGACTTTATAAATAAGCGGCATCATCAAGTTGTCATCACCACAAAGTGCAAGTACTATAACACAGCAACACACATCCTCAACATTGAATTACTGATGACCAAGTGACTTTATAAATAAGCGACATCATCAAGTTGTCACCACCACAAAGTGAAAGTAGAATAACTGACATCTACACACATCATCACCATGCAATTATTTATGATCAAGTGACTTTATAAATAAGTGACAGCATCAGTTATTGACACCACCAACATGTGACAATGTCAACAATGGACAATGTCATGAAAAAACACATAAAAATGACAATGAGTCAAATGACACCAACAACAGACAATAGATCAAATGACACCAAAGTCTGAAGATGTTATCAAATGACACCAGCTGCTGATAATGCCATCAGCTAATAATGATAGTTGGAATCCATCACCAACAACTGAAAATGTCATCAAATGACACCAAAAATTGACAATGCCATCAGCTGACACTAACAGTAAGGGAACTGATAGATCAGCATTCAGACCCAGAAGATACTATCATCTACACAGATAGATCCGTGAAGCGCGGATCAAGGTCAGCATGGGCATACACAGCGCAAAGAAAGGGGAAAACAATACATGAGGACAGTGGCGCTTACCAGACAACCACGTCAAGCATGACAATGGAAATAGCCGCTGCTTCTAGAGCTTTAGCATGGGTATCCGAGCAAACCGCCACACAGGTAGTAATTGTCTCAGACTCAATGAATATGCTTCAGAAGATAGAAACAGGCAGTATGCGCTCTGAATGGATAGAAAGCATCAGGAAATCGCACTTAACCTCCGTAACCTGGATCTACACACCGGGTCATGCGGGCGTGAAGGGAAATGAGCGAGCAGACCAACTGGCAAGCACTGCACTAATGATTGCGGGAAAAAGTATGGACAGAGCAGACATAGTCAAACGCTGTACGAACTGGGCTAGTGGAGAATGAGGAATCCCAATGACACTAACACGATTGCGTGACATGGGAGTTAAGCATGGTGATGCACGTCTTTGCCGTCTTCGAGGCCGAGAAAGGAGACAATATAACCAACTTCTCATGGGGACAATTAGTAGAAGTACTTTAGAGTGGCTGCTGCTTCGGAGAACTGAGCACGCATGGGTATGCCCAATGTGCAGTGACATTAATTGTGATAACAGAACATAAAATAACAACTTAGTAGGGAGTCGGCAGTACAAAACCCAAGTTCAAGGTGTCTCCTTCGTGCCAAAGAACTGCATGGCTGTTGGGTGAACAGTCGTTAACGATGGCAGGGCAGGTCATTGTAGGGGCGACGCCTGCTGGTGGATGTAATGTCCTAGAGTCCCTTCCCCAGCTAATAATGAGGGTACATTGCTGGGGTGACCGTTTATTAACCCTCATATAATTCTTCCGGTCAAAATGGACGCTAGGTACATTCCCCCCCTTTTTTTTTTTTTTTTTTTTTTTTAATCCGTGGCAAATATTTTCTTTTTTTTCCAGACGGTGGCCGTTGCATTTTTGCTCCATTTGTAGACTGGAAGGATGTAGTTTTGTCGCCCAGCTTCTGAGTTGAGTGCATGGCATGACACTGAGAGCTGCGTTTGTTTTTCGTTGGCACAGGAGCGGAGCATATGTGGGGTGACCCGTTTGACATGAAGCTGAAACTAGGATTACCAGATTACCAGATTTGACACTAACAAGTGACATCACCAACAACTGAAAATTTCATAAAATAACACTAACAACTGACACTGCCATCAGCTCACACTAACAGTTGACATCAACACTAAGGCTCACCCTCAAAAATGTGTCCATGGAGCCGTTGGCCATGTATTCTGTGACTATCATGATTGGGTTGCCTGAGGACAGAGAAAACAAACACACCTGTCATGTATTGAGCACAAACTCTTCCACGTGGACACTCACACAGCAAACCTTGAAATTTTCATTAAAATACAATTAGCCAAGCCTGCCGGACACAGGCAGATAGATCAGTCAGTCCATACTCCACTAGAATTTACCAGTGTCAACTGCTTTAGTGCCAGTCATCAACTGTCATTCATCTGTTCTATTTATCTACTGTGTTATCTTGTTTATCATTTTACGGCCAGCGTTACAAGTCTGAATGGCAATGAATGATATCACAATGCCACATAGTAACTAATGATATCAAAGTGACATGTGACAACATAGTCTAGCAACCAACACTTGTTTTCAAATTCCAAGCAACATTCCCAGGGCTAACAACATTCCCAGTGTTAACAATATATCCAGGACAAACAACATTCCAATGGCTAACAACATTCCCAGTGTTAACAATATATCCAGAACAAAAACATTCCAATGGCTAGCAACATTCCCAGTGTTAACAATATATCCAGGACAAACAACATTCCAATGGCTAACAACATTCCCAGTGTTAACAATATATCCAGAACAAACAACATTCCAATGGCTAGCAACATTCCCAGTGTTAACAATATATCCAGGACAAACAACATTCCCAGGGCTAACAACATTCCCAGGGCTAACAACATTCTCAGGGCTAACAACATTCCCAGGGCTAACAACATTCCCAGGGCTAACAACATTCCAATGGCTAACAACATTCCAATGGCTTACAACATTCCGATGGCTAACAACATATCCATGGCTAACAACATAGCTGTGGCTAACAATATTCCAATGGCTAACAATTTTCCAAAGGCTAACAACATATCTGTGGTTAACAACATATCCATGGCTAACAACATATCTTTGGTTAACAACATTCCAATGGCTAACAATATTCCAATGGCTAACAATATTCAATATTCAATAAGTAAACAGCTGCAAGACCACGTAAACCTACTACACGGCAGTTGCCTCAAGCAAAGACAGAAGTCATGAGCATAAGTAGAGAGCAACAGACCATCGACATAAAGATTCTAGATCACAGCCTAAAACAAGTGCAAGAATTTAAATACTTGGGAAGTATCTTTACATTCAATGGTAAAATAGACAGAGAGATCGAAGCAAGAATCCAACAAGCCAACAATGTCGCATACCAGCTTGCCCCAATTTTAAAACACCCTGCTGTCCCAGCTGAGATAAAAAAACAAATTATAAATACAATCTTTATACCGACATTAGGTTATCAATGTCAGACTTGGACATTAACAAAAGAAGACGAGAGAAGACTAACCACCTGTGAAATGAGATGTTTGAGAATGGCTGCGAATAAAACCAGAAGAGATCGAGTGAGAAACGATGTGATTACAAGAACTATTGGAACCATACCCATCGTTAAATTTATTGAGAAGCAAAGAATGAAATGGTTTGGTCACCTAATGAGAATGGAACCAACGATGCCAGCATCAAGAGCATACAACATGAAAATAGAAACACCAAGTGGCAGGGGAAGACCAAGAAGAAGATGGATTGAAGGAGTCACGGACAACTTGAAACTTCATAAAATCACGGCATATGAAGCGACTGAGCGCGCCCTGGCTCGGTTGCCGATCATCTGATAGACTGCGACGCCTAGCGGCACAAGCAGATTTTGGCAAAAGAAGAAAGAAGAACAATATTCCAATGGCTAACAACATATCCATGGCTAACAACATATCTGTGGTTAACAACATATCTATGGTTAACAACATTTCTATGGATAACAACACATCCATGGTTAAAAACATATCCATGCCCATGGTTAACAATATACCCATGGCTAACAACATATCCATGGTTAAAAACATATCCATGCCCATGGTTAACAATATACCCATGGCTAACAACATATCCATGGTTAAAAACATATCCATGCCCATGGTTAACAATATACCCATGGCTAACAACATATCTGTGGATAACAAAATATCCATGGCTAACAACACTCCCAGGGCTACCAACATGGTTCACAATAACAAACAGTACTAACAAATGGACAAGGGACTCACTCTTTGTAACAACTCCTTCTAGAAAGATCACATTGGGGTCATCAAATTGGCCCATGATGCTGGCTTCTGTGAGGAAGTCTAGCCTGTTCTTCTCTGTGGCACCTGGTTTGAGGGTTTTAATGGCTACAGTCATCTCCAGACGTCCAGGCATCCTTAGCTTACCTTTACACACATCTCCAAACTCGCCTGGTCGAAGGATAACAGTCATCAGAACAATAAATATACGATGTGAACACCCAGAAATGGAGAACACACCTCTTTAATTAAAGCTCAAAGAGAGACATAAGCCAGTTAATTTCTGATTTGATTTTGGTGATGTGTAAAATGGTTTTTTTTTTTTTTTTTTTGTAAATTTTTTCAAGATCGTTTTGTTTGCTTGTTTCATTCCCCCAAATACAGAAAATACTGGATCATGATAATGCTTTCTCTTGGTTATTGTGAAATGGTTAAGGAAAAATTATTGAAGGCTGTTTAACCTTCTACTACCATCTAAAAGTCACCCATACAGATGCATATCCATGTGGAATTGGTGGTCAGAATTACAAACATACAGTATGCAAGCATCACACACATACAAACTGACAAATGTACACGTACAAATCACTCTCTCTCTCTCTTTCTCTCTCTCACTTGCATGCACGGTTGCGCACGCACACACACACACACACACATCTCCCTTTCTGACATATAAACATGGAGTACAATGTATAATGGCCTTACCTCCACCAATGACTGACTCAATGATAATATGACAGGCGTCTATCTCCCTCGTGAACTCTCGAACTGCCTGGTTAGGATCTTCATATGTATGGGGGTCAACATATGTACGCACAGAACTGTGTACAGATCCAGGTGATGGGAACAGTGGCATTGTCACTGCATGCGAAAACATAAATAGATAGTTGTGAGCAAGTGCATACAATTCTGTAGTAATAACATAATGTAGAACAATATTTATATGTAGTGTACATGTTTAATACTGCAGCACAATTTCTTCTATATGCAAAGCTTTCTCATGTGAACAAGTGAACTACTGTTTCTTCTACAGTCGTCACATGTTTGATGATGTTGCCATCAGGCGTATTCTCAGGGAGAACTTCTCTGGTGTTTGGAGTCTCCCTGTGCTACACATTGCAGACTTTATGGCTGATTTTGTACACGTCTTTTTGCTCACTGCATCCCCGTGTGGGTTCCGAGAAAAACAAGAACAGACCCACTGCATCCCCGTGTGGGTTCCGAGAAAAACAAGAACAGACCCACTGCATCCCCGTGTGGGTTCCGAGAAAAACAAGAACAGACCCACTGCATCCCCGTGTGGGTTCCGAGAAAAACAAGAACAGACCCACTGCATACCCAAAAAGTATGTCATAGGAGCTGACTTTTCTTCTTCTTCTTCGTGTTCACCAGCTGTAAACTCTGGCGGAACGTTCTGGTTGTTCATCCACTTTTGGACTGCAGTCCTGTTTCAGACCTGAGTGTTGCGTGCATACGTTTTACAGATCTGACTCATTAGTATGCAGACTGCTCACAATTAGTCGACTCTTTCTTACGGAATGCTTTTGGGTAGGCAGTGGGTCTATTCTATTTTTTTCCTATAATAAAGCAGTGGAGTGATAGGAGCGGACTAACTTGGGGTATCGTTGGAAGCTGGCACACATCTGCCTGAGAGGCAAGGAACCAAACTGCTTGCCTGTTCGGGTTCCAGGAAAAACAAGAATAAACTCACTGCACTCCTAACAAGCATTTTGTAGGAGTTGACTAACTGGGGCTATCCTTTGAAGTTGGAGTACATCTGCCTGAGAGACAAGGAAGCAAATGCCTGGATACAAATAAGCCAGATATGTGAAACGAATGTACAGCAACACTCAGGTTCTGGAAAAAGTCTCAAGTCCAGAGATGGGTGAACATATGAAAGTTTCTGCCGGAGTTTACAGCTGGTGAACAGAAAGAAGAAAAAGAAGCTCACTTTAGACATGTGAATTCATGTTCAGCAGACAGACGGCCAAAGATTAGTACACAAGTTTACAAATGTTAAGCAGACAAGGTTAATTCCACATAGATAGATGAAGCCATCCGGTACTTCTCTAAACATCCTCTGTTTACTTAATACCAATGTAATATTTAGTACTAGTTTAAGTTCCCCTGTTTACTTAATACCAATGTAATATTTTGTACTAGTTCAAGTTCCCCTGTTTACTTAATACCAATTTTGTACTAGTTTAAGTTCAGTCTTTTCACCAGATTCTCCAGCTCCAGTTAATAAGGCAAACAAAATGTGTGTATGTGTGTGTGAGTGTGGTGCATGTGTGTGTGTGAGTGTGGTGCATGTGTGTACGTATGTATGTACGAGTATGTATGTATGTAGGTACATATGTACAAGTATTATGTATGTACAAATGTAAGAATATGTATGTATGAATATGTAAGTATATACGTATGTATATCATGTATGTCTGTCTGTCTGCCTTCGCGCGTGCGTGTGTGCATGCGTGCCTGTGTGTGTGTGTGTATGTATGTATGTATGTATGTATGTATGTATGTATGTATGTATGTATGTATGTATGTATGTATGTATGTATGTATGTATGTATGTATGTATGTATGTATGTATGTATGTATGTATGTATGTATGTATGTATGTGAGATGTGGTTTTACAGAAGAATGCTTAGAATACCTTGGACAGCCAAAAAGAGCAACCAAGAGGTTTTGAAAGAGGTGGGAGCCCGAAGACAGAAGGAGACATCATTTTTCGGCCATGTTATGAGAAAAGGGAAAATAGAACATGTTGTGACCACTGGAAGGATCTGTGGAAGGATGGATAGAGGAACACAACGAGAGAAGATTCTTGACAGTCTTGTTGCATGGTATGGAGGTGTGTCGGCACATGAACTGATACATGCTGCAGGAGATCGCAGATTGCGGAGAGTCATGATCGCCTACGCCAGTCGGCAAGGCACCTGATGATGATGATGTATGTATGTATGTATGTATGTATGTATGTATGTATGTATGTATGTATGTATGTATGTATGTATGTATGTATGTATGTATGTATGTATGTATGTATGTATGTATGTATGTATGTATGTATGTATGTATGTATGTATGTATGTATGCAAGCATGTATGTATGTATGTATGTAAGCATGTATGTATGTATGTATGTATGTATGTATGTATGTAAGCATGTATGTATGTATGTATGTATGTATGTATGTGTGTATGCAAGCATGTATGTATGTATGTATGTAAGCATGTATGTATGTATGTATGTATGTATGTATGTATGTATGTAGGAGTACGTAAGTATTTGTGTATGCATGTAAATCTGAGTAAGAGCCTATAGACACAAAAGAGTACTCACGTCCCCCATAGCCTCCATTGATGTGATGCTCCAGCGGTGGGTACTGGATGACTGGATGGACAGAAGAACAGATACACATACAGTATGCTCACTTTTACTTTTATGTCAACAACTATCGGGTGTCTATAATGACTGTATAGGGATAATAACTTCACTGATATCAACACTCTTTAAGTTAGTATATTCAAATGTTCATAAATTTCCCAACAATCCATAAGAAAATTCAATAATTTATCAGTTGTATAAAATTCTATCAGTACATAGAAAATATCAGTCAAAAAGCGGTCTATTTGTCTAGCCCCATAAACCATCAGTCTATCTAACAATCTATGAATCTATCAGCCAACGGGCTATTTAACAGAATACCAAATAGTTTCACAGTTTTAAGTCTAACAATGAACCAAACAATCTGTCACTCTGATCTCAATGAGTCTATCCAACTTCCTGCCTGTTTATCTACCTATCTAACTGATTTGTATTTGGTCTGCTTGCATTTCTGACTGTCTGTAAGTATTAGAGAAAGGCTATGAAATACAATTCGGGAAATTAAAGGATAAGTATAGTAGTCGGGAGATGTGAACCAGCATCACTGCACAGGGTTATAAACCATAAGTGCTCTGGCACCAGTGCAGACAGCTGATAAGAAACTGTCCGCCTGTGTCGCCGTCCGCATGCAACTCCGTAGCTACAGCGATGTTCTTCCATTTACCCCAGAGTGTTAGCTCTGGTACCCATTTTCTAAAGACTGGGTGAATCCCGAGAACCACCCGGTTTCGAACACCGGCCGTGGGCTGAAGCGAGTTGCCACTGGATTTGAAAGTGAGATGAAATAACAAATAATACCAAATTGAGACAGATGTAATATAATATACTGTACTTTTAAACACAAACAAGCCTGTAGGAATAGGAGCCTGTAGAGATGGGAGCTTGTAGAGGTGGAAACATGTAAATATGGGAGCTTTAAAAGACTGGAGCCTGTAGAGATGGAAACGTGTAGAGATGGGAGCTTTAAAAGACTGGAGCCTGTAGAGATAAAAACGTGTAGAGATGGGAGCTTTAAGAGACTGGAGCCTGTAGAGATGGAAACGTGTAGAGATGGGAGCTTTAAGAGACTGGAGCCTGTAGAGATGGAAACGTGTAGAGATGGGAGCTTTAAGAGACTGGAGCCTGTAGAGATAAAAACGTGTAGAGATGGGAGCTTTAAGAGACTGGAGCCTGTAGAGATGGAAACGTGTAGAGATGGGAGCTTTAAGAGACTGGAGCCTGTAGAGATAGAAACATGTAGAGATGGGAGCTTTAAGAGACTGGAGCCGGTAGAGATGGAAACGTGTAGAGATCGGAGCTTTAAGAAAATGGAGCCTGTAGAGATGGAAACGTGTAGAGATGGCAGCTTTAAGAGACTGGAGCCTGTAGAGATGGAAACGTGTAGAGATGGGAGCTTTAAGAGACTGGAGCCTGTAGAGATGGAAACGTGTAGAGATGGGAGCTTTAAGAGAATGGAGCCTGTAGAGATGGAAACGTGTAGAGATGGGAGCTTTAAGAGACTGGAGCCGGTAGAGATGGAAACGTGTAGAGATGGGAGCTTTAAGAGACTGGAGCCTGTAGAGATGGAAACATGTAGAGATGGGAGCTTTAAGAGACTGGAGCCGGTAGAGATGGAAAGGTGAAGAGATCGGAGCTTTAAGAAAATGCAGCCTGTAGAGATGGAAACGTGTAGAGATGGCAGCTTTAAGAGACTGGAGCCTGTAAAGATGGGAACCTGAAGAGATAAGAATCTGTAGAGATAGGAGTCAGATGGGAACCTGTAGAGATGGAAATGTGTAGAGATGGGAACCTGTAGAGATGGGAACCTGTAGAGATGGGAACCTGGAGAGATGGAAACGTGTAGAGATGGGAGCTTTTAGAGACTGGAGCCTGTAGAGATGGAAACGTGTAAAGATGGGAGCTTTAAGAGACTAGAGCCTGTAGAGGTGGAAACGTGAAGAGATGGGAGCTTTAAGAGACTAGAGCCTGTAGAGATGGAAACGTGTAGAGATGGGAACCTGTAGAGGTGGGAACCTGTAGAGATGGGAGCTTGTAGAGATGGAAGTCTGTAGAGATGGAAGTCTGTAGAGATGGAAGTCTGTAGAGATGGGGGAGAGATGGAAGCCAGTAGAGATGGAAGTCTGTAGAGATGGGGGAGAGATGGAAGCCAGTAGAGATGGAAGTCTGTAGAGATGGGTGAGAGATGGAAGTCTGTAGAGATGGAAGTCTGTAGAGATGGAAGTCTGTAGAGATGGGGGAGAGATGGAAGTCTGTAGAGATGGAAGTCTGTAGAGATGGAAGTCTGTAAAGATGGAAGTCTGTAGAGATGGGGGAGAGATGGAAGTCTGTAGAGATGGGGGAGAGATGGAAGTCTGTAGAGATGAGGGAGAGATGGAAATCTGTAGAGATGGAAGTCTGCAGAGATGGGGGAGAGATGGAAGCCAGTAGAGATGGAAGTCTGTAGAGATGGGGGAGAGATGGAAGTCTGTAGAGATGAAGGCCTGTAGAGATGGAAGTCTGTAAAGATGGAAGTCTGTAGAGATGGGGGAAAGATGGAAGTCTGTAGAGATGGAAGTCTGTAGAGATGGAAGTCTGTAGAGATGGGGGAGAGATGGAAGTCTGTAGAGATGGAAGTCTGTAGAGATGGGGGAGAGATGGAAGTCTGTAGAGATGGAGGAGAGATGGAAGTCTGTAGAGATAGGGGAGAGATGAAAGTCTGTAGAGATGGGGAAGAGATGGAAGTCTGTAGAGATGGGGGAGAGATGGAAGTCTGTAGAGATGGGGAAGAGATGGAAGTCTGTAGAGATGGGGAAGAGATGAAAGTCTGTAGAGATGGAAGTCTGTAGAGATGAGGGAGAGATGGAAGTCTGTAGAGATGGGGGAAGAGATGGAAGTCTGTAGAGATGGGGAAGGAGATGGAAGTCTGTAGAGATGGGGGAAGAGATGAAAGTCTGTAGAGTTGGAAGTCTGTAGAGATGGGGGAGAGATGGAAGTCTGTAGAGATGGTGGAGAGATGGAAGTCTGTAGAGATGGGGGAGAGATGGAAGTCTGTAGAGATGGGGGAGAGCTGAAAATCTGTAGAGATGGAAGTCTGTAGAGATGGGGGAGAGATGAAAGTCTGTAGAGATGGGGGAGAGATGGAAGTCTGTAGAGATGGGGGAGAGATGGAAGTCTGTAAAGATGGGGGAGAGATGGAAGTCTGTAGAGATGGGGGAGAGATGGAAGTCTGTAGAGATGGGGGAGAGATGAAAATCTGTAGAGATGGGGGAGAGATGGAAGTCTGTAGAGATGGGAGAGAGATGGAAGTCTGTAGAGATGGGGGAGAGATGAAAGTCTGTAGAGATGGAAGTCTGTAGAGATGGGGGAGAGATGAAAGTCTGTAGAGATGGAAGTCTGTAGAGATGGGGGAAGAGATAAAAGTCTGTAGAGATGGGGGAGAGATGGAAGTCTGTAGAGATGGGGGAGAGATGGAAGTCTGTAGAGATGGAAGTCTGTAGAGATGGGGGGAGAGATGGAAGTCTGTAGAGATGAAAGTCTGTAGAGATGGGGGGAGAGATGGAAGTCTGTAGAGATTTAAATCTGTATAGATGGGGGAGAGATGGAAGTTTGTAGAGATGGAGGAGAGATGGAAGTCTATAGAGATGGGGGAAGAGATGAAAGTCTGTAGAGATGGAAGTCTGTAGAGATGGGGGAAGAGATGAAAGTCTGTAGAGATGGAAGTCTGTAGAGATGGGGGAAGAGATGAAAGTCTGTAGAGATGGAAGTCTGTAGAGATGGGGGAGAGATGGAAGTCTGTAGAGATTGGGAGAGATGGAAGTCTGTAGAGATGGGGGAGAGATGGAAGTCTGTAGAGATGGAAGTCTGTAGAGATGGAAGTCTGTAGAGATGGGGGAAGAGATGGAAGTCTGTAGAGATGGAAGTCTGTAGAGATGGGGGAGAGATGGAAGTCTGTAGAGATGGAAGTCTGTAGAGATGGAAGTCTGTGCGATGGAAGAGAGACGGCAGCCTGTAGAGACTGGTGCCTGTAGCGATGGCAGCCAGGTACTCACTTAACCCAACAGTGCACATGCATGCAGTAAGGACTGGTGGCAGAGTTTAGTCTCTCCCAAACGGTCCGGCTCTGGTTTCAAACCAGCTTTATAAAGTTGGTACCAAGAAAATGTGGTTGTAAAGGCGATCAAAGTAATGATGACCTTATGACTCCACATGTGCCATTCATCATCATCATAATTAGACAAATCCTTAGCAAAAAATATGCCTCCCATCACAACCTAATGGGTAGGCTCTAGGGCCATAACCTGCCCCACTGCCTGTTCTACTGTACAAGGTCTCTGTAATGCACTTTTCAACCTTCTTGCTAGTTCAGCACTGCCTATTCTTTCAGAACAAGGTCTTATGTTATTGTCTGTCCTAAACCAGGGTGTCATTTCACAGAGCCACAACATGCCAGTTTGAGATGTGGTTCTGTCTACCAGCCACCATTTTTCTTGAAGGATGTCAGTGTTTTTTTTTTTTTTTTTAACCTCAGTATTTTAAGACATTTCCTAGAAAACTGAATTACAAAGCTATGATTTCTCTCTTGCTTTGTTTATAAAAATGTCAGTGACTCCTGTCGCTGTTTAGTTCAAAATATCTCAGTCTCAAGGGGGATTCATACATATGACAATTTGGCAAGTGTGCTAGTCACTGCCAAAACTCCCAGTTACTGCCTTTTGCAGTGTAGGTATGGGGGTCTTTGAGCCTCAGCATTTAGGGCAGCATGACTAGTGCTGATGCCATGGACTGTGCAGGTGAGGATTTTATTTTTGCTAGCCACAGCGACACTACAATTCCAGATCTTAAAAAAGGAAAACAAAATGAGAAGAAAGATCAGCTATGTCAACAAAAACTGAAACCATTGCCACAAAAAGAATGGGAAAAAAAACACACACAAAAACAGACACCTAAAACCACAAACCTAAAAATTTGCTAGTTATAATTCTATGGGTAAGTATGGCTACAAGCCAACGCAAGAGAAATATAAATTACCAAGCCTAAGGTTAGTTTTTCTGACAACAGACAGACAAATATTAACAAATGGCTAGCCAAAAATTGGTCTGCCTGAGAAAGACAGACATTTAAAAAAGAATGTCTAGTCTACAGGAAGCCGCAGATATTGTTAGTGCAAAACAAACTGTCAGAGGGCAAATACCGCCAGATATTGTTAGTGCAAAACAAACTGTCAGAGGGCAAATACCGCCAGATATTGTTAGTGCAAAACAAACTGTCAGAGGGCAAATACCGCCAGATATTGTTAGTGCAAAACAAACTGTCAGAGGGCAAATACCGCCAGATATTGTTAGTGCAAAACAAACTGTCAGAGGGCAAATACCGCCAGATATTGTGAGTGCAAAACAAACTGTCAGAGGGCAAATACCGCCAGATATTGTTAGTGCAAAACAAACTGTCAGAGGGCAAATACTGCCAGATATTGTTAGTGCAAAACAAACTGTCAGAGGGCAAATACCGCCAGATATTGTGAGTGCAAAACAAACTGTCAGAGGGCAAATACCGCTAGATATTGTTAGTGCAAAACAAACTGTCAGAGGGCAAATACCGCCAGATATTGTTAGCGCAAAACAAACTGTCAGAGGGCAAATACCGCCAGATATTGTTAGCGCAAAACAAACTGTCAGAGGGCAAATACCGCCAGATATTGTTAGTGCAAAACAAACTGTCAGAGGGCAAATACCGCCAGATATTGTTAGCGCAAAACAAACTGTCAGAGGGCAAATACCGCCAGATATTGTTAGCGCAAAACAAACTGTCAGAGGGCAAATACCGCCAGATATTGTTAGCGCAAAACAAACTGTCAGAGGGCAAATACCGCCAGATATTGTTAGCGCAAAACAAACTGTCAGAGGGCAAATACCGCCAGATATTGTGAGTGCAAAACAAACTGTCAGAGGGCAAATACTGCCAGATATTGTTAGCGCAAAACAAACTGTCAGAGGGCAAATACCGCCAGATATTGTTAGCGCAAAACAAACTGTCAGAGGGCAAATACCGCCAGATATTGTTAGTGCAAAACAAACTGTCAGAGGGCAAATACCGCCAGATATTGTTAGTGCAAAACAAACTGTCAGAGGGCAAATACCGCCAGATATTGTTAGCGCAAAACAAACTGTCAGAGGGCAAATACCGCTAGATATTGTTAGTGCAAAACAAACTGTCAGAAGGCAAATACCGCCAGATATTGTTAGTGCAAAACAAACTGTCGGAAGGCAAATATCGCCAGAAATAAATATAAATATACATGTTTCTGTCAAAATATAGAGTTCTGAGGCCCTATTATAGGAAAAACAAGAATAGACCCACTGCCTAACCAAAAGCATGTTGTAATTTGGAGCTTTCTTTGAAGTCGGAGTGCATCTGCCTGAGAGGCAAGGAACCAGCAGTCTGCATACAACTGAGTTAGATCTGTAGAACAGATGCAAATGCAACACACAGGTTCTGAAAAAAGGACTGCAGTCCAGAAGTGGATGAACAACCAGAACTTTCCGCCGGAGTTTACAGCTGGTGAACGCGAAGAAAAAGAAGAAGAAGAAGAACAAACCTTTGTATATAGGATAGGGAGTTGCTGATTGGTCCATCTCCTATCTATTAACTACTAACATTGTTTGGTTTTACCTTTGTCTATAGGGACTTTCTGATTAGTCCGTCTCCTGTCAACTAATAACAGAGGTTGTCTACTTGTACCTTTGTTAACATGAACCGTAAGGTGGATTTTTCAGTTTTGTTCTTCTTCATCTAGCTACCAAAGGAAAAAACCACAAATGCCTACATTAAATCTAAGAAGTCTAGACTAGAACTACAGTAAGAACATAACGAGAATAAATGAAAGCAAAACATCTACGGGCTAGTAGAGAGAGAAAATATGACTGACTATACGTGTACCTCTAGATAGGTCAGCTTCGTCTGCTGCTGTCATATATGGAGGGGGAGGGGGGCACAAGACAAGGATTATATGTTATATGTGAAACAAATGCAAACATACACAACAGACAAACATATATGTAAATAAAGATACAGAATACTCAATAGGTCTGGTTATATGTGACTGAACACTCCACAGATAAAGTTTACATACATTTGTGATGTAAACATACACACTGATATGCTCAATAGGCTGATGATCCGTCATATGATGTGAACATATTCAACAGACGATAATGATGCATACACCCGACAGTATGATATACACTCAACACTATGAACAGTGAGTTCTGCTGCTAGAATATGTTGACTGTCTTCAATGTGGAACAGGCAGCCATGTTTTCAAAGACACCTCCCAATATTGTTTCTCAAATTTAGGACAAAATATAAAATGGTTAGCCGACCTAGAAACAAAAATGCCTTGTGGTGCCACAGAATTCACGGCATACATTACAAAAGGAGAGGGACAGAGAGCACAATCTAGAAACCAAGAACAAGATGGAAAGAAGACAGAGAAACTCTACAACAGCAAGATGTGTCTATAGTCGAGGTGGCCAGATCAAGAAAAAGAGTCTTATTTCAACCTCAACACCCAAAGCAGTTTGCCCACTTCAAGAATATGCCTTGCATACTGTTCAAGGCATACACTACAAGAGGAGAGAGACACGGAGCACAAGCCAGACCAAAAACAACATGAAAAGATAACATCAGAAAAACTCTAAAGCAGCATGACGTCTCTATAGATGAGGCTTCCAGAAGATCAAGAAACAGAACCTTATATCTCACTCGACACTAACAGTGATAAAACAGGCAATGAAGAAAAAGAAGAAGAATTTTCATGTCATACACTGTTATAATGTAGCATTGTGTCTTGTACAGATGTGCCTCTGAACAAAATATTTTATTCTAGTTTATGATTGCTTTAGCTAGTTCTGATGCCCAGTGACACTGTGGTTACAATATTCTTGTAAAAATTATGTTCACACAATCAATCATCTGTGAGCCACATTCTTGTCAAACCATGCTCACAAAACCAATCATCTATAAACCCTATTCTTGTCAACTGTGCTCACAAAATCAATCATCTATAAACCATATTCTTGTCAAACTGTGCTCACAAAATCAGTCATCTTTAAACCCTATTCCTGTCAAACTGTGCTCACAAAATCAGTCATCTATAAACCATATTCTTGTCAACCGTGCTCACAACAATCAGTCATCTATAAACCCTATTCTTGTCAACCATGCTCACAAAATCAATCATCTATAAACCCTAATCTTGTCAAACTGTGCTCACAAAATCAGTCATCTATAAACCTATTCTTGTCAAACTGTGCTCACAAAATCAGTCATCTATAAACCATATTCTTGTCAACTGTGCTAACAGAATCAGTTATCTATAAACCATATTCTTGTCAACTGTGCTCATAAAATCAGTCATCTGTGAAAGAGGCAACAACTTACCATGGGTATAAGCATCACAGCTTTTCTTCTCACTGCAATCAGGACGGTTTCTGAAATGCAGGACATTTAAAAACGTTAGCTGCATGTCCTTTACAGGATGTTGTTGCATAAGCAAACCCATAATTTTGTGTCTGTTTATGGTTTTACTAGGTAATTTTTCTGTTCAGTAGTTTCCCATTGCTGTCTGAATAGTTGGTGCTCCATACCACTTATTGTCAATTCAAACTGATCTGTTGCCAAACTGACTGTAGCTCAACAGAACTAGGTATTTCAGAGTTATGGATCGCACTTTTACCGTGGGAAAGAAGGAAAATTCTTAACCTCAGAAGGTTGCTTCCATTTCTTTGCCTTCTTCTTTTCAGTACAATAAATATTTTCTTGTCCTTTTTTTATCTCATCCTCTTTTTTTTCATATTTATTTTCTCCTCCTTTCTCTCCTTCTTCTTGATTTCCATCTTCTTCTGCTTCATCTTCTTCATTAAAAAAAATGACTACACAAGAAGTTCAGATGTTGTGAGAGATCACAGACAGTCTCATGTAAAGTAAATAAAAGTAAAGGTCCCTTTTCCACACCTTTTTAGGTGTATAGGGCATATAGGGCTAGACCTATATTTTATAGACCAATCAGCACAAGATAGGTGATTTGGTCAGCATCATGCCGGCCGTGTTTACTTCCCAGGACTACACCCGGTACTCACTCAAGGCTGGGTCGACCTGGGAGCCAAGGTAATTTTTATAAAAAAGCGTCTAGCTGCTCTGCCACGGTGACTTCTAGTCCCATGTAGATTTGTGGAAACAGAATCAATCAAACAACAGATAATAACAAAAACATCACAAACAATCAGACAAAAGGTAAAGCCACTAAAACATGAGGAAAGGATGACATAAAAGTGCCCTGCATAAAAGACCAGACACTCTGCCTTCTGAAGTATAAGGTGTCACATAAGCAAGTGATGAACAAATAGTAAGTAAGTGTGACAGACAGGGTAAGTGTGACAGACAGGGTAAGTGTGACAGACAGGGTAAGTGTGACAGACAGGGTAAGTGTGACAGACAAGGCAAGTGGCAGATCAGGATAATGTTGGTACAGAATAAAAGCAGTACAGTGGAAAATAGGAGAGTGGAAAACAGGAGAAGTGGAACATATGAGTGAAGATATATAGGAGAGTGGAAAATTTGAGAGTGGAATATAGAAGTGCAGCATAGGAGAGTGGAATATAGGAGAGTGGAACATAGGAGAGTGGAACATAGGAGAGTGGAACATAGGAGAGTGGAACATAGGAGAGTGAGTGGAACATAGGAGAGTGGAACATAAGAACATTTGAGAGTGGAATACAGAAGTGCAGCATAGAAGAGTGGAACATAGGAAAGTGAAACATAGGAGAGTGAGTACAACATAGGAGAGTGAGTGGAACACAGGAGAGTGGAACATAGGAGAGTGGAACATAGGAGAGTGGAATATAGAAGTGCAGCATAGGAGAGTGGAACATAGGAGAGTGAGTACAAAAAAGGAGAGTGAGTGGAACATAGGAGAGTGGAACATAGGAACATTTGAGAGTGGAATACAGAAGTGCAGCATAGGATAGTAGAACATAGGAGAGTGGAATATAGAAGTGCAGCATAGGAGAGTGGAACATAGGAGAGTGAGTGGAACATAGAAGAGTGGAATACAGAAGTGCAGCATAGGAGAGTGGAACATAGGAGAGTGAGTGGAACATAGGAGAGTGGAACATAGGAACATTTGAGAGTGGAGTGGAAGTGCAGCATAGGAGAGTGGAACATAGGAGAGTGGAACATAGGAGAGTGGAATACAGAAGTGCAGCATAGGAGAAAGGAATACAGAAGTTCAGCATAGGAGAGTGGAACATAGGAGAGTGGAACATAGGAGAGTGGAATATAAAAGTGCAGCATAGGAGAGTGGAACATAGGAGAGTGAGTGGAACATAGGAGAGTGGAACATAGGAACATTTGAGAGTGGAATACAGAAGTGCAGCATAGGAGAGTGGAACACAGCAGAGTGGAACATAGGAGAGTGGAACATAGGAGAGTGAGTACAACATAGGAGAGTGAGTGGAACACAGGAGAGTGGAACATAGGAGAGTGGAACATAGGAACATTTGAGAGTGGAATACAGAAGTGCAGCATAGGAGAGTGGAACACAGGAGAGTGGAACATAGGAGAGTGGAACATAGGAATATTTGAGAGTGGAATACAGAAGTGCAGCATAGGAGAGTGGAACACAGCAGAGTGGAACATAGGAATATTTGAGAGTGGAATACAGAAGTGCAGCATAGGAGAGTGGAACACAGGAGAGTGGAACATAGGAGGGTGGAACATAGGAGGATGGAACATAGGAGAGTGGAACACAGGAGAGTGGAACATAGGAGAGTGGAACATAGGAGGGTGGAACATAGGAGAGTGGAACATAGGAGAGTGGAACATAGGAGAGTGGAACATAGGAGAGTGGAACATAGGAGAGTGGAACACAGGAGAGTGGAACAACATAGGAGAGTGAGTGGAACATAGGAGAGTGGAACATAGGAGGAGAGTGGAACACAGATAGCAGCATAGGAGTGGAACATAGGAGAGTGGTACAACAAGGAGAGTGAGTGGAACACAGGAGAGTGGAACATAGGAACATTTGAGAGTGGAATACAGAAGTGCAGCATAGGAGAGTGGAACATAGGAGAGTGAGTGGAACATAGGAGAGTGGAACATAGAAGAGTGAGTGGAACATAGGAGAGTGGAACATAGGAGAGTGGAACATAGGAGAGTGAGTGGAACATGGGAAAGTGGAACATAGGAACATTGAGAGTGGAACATACCTGCGCAAGGAGAATGATGGAGAGTGGAATATTGGAGTAATAGGAGAGTGGAACATAGGAGAGTGAGTGGAACATAGGAGAGTGGAACATAGGTACATTTGAGAGTGGAATACAGAAGTGCAGCATAGGAGAGTGGAACATAGGAGAGTGAGTGGAACATAGGAGAGTGGAACATAGGAACATTTGAGAGTGGAATACAGAAGTGCAGCATAGGAGAGTGGAACATAGGAGAGTGGAACAAAGGAGAGTGAGTACAACATAGGAGAGTGAGTGGAACACAGGAGAGTGGAACATAGGAACATTTGAGAGTGGAATACAGAAGTGCAGCATAGGAGAGTGGAACATAGGAGAGTGGAATATAGAAGTGCAACATAGGAGAGTGGTACATAAGAGAGTGGAACATAGGAGAGTGGAACATAGGAGAGTGGAACATAGGAGAGTGGTACATAGGAGAGTGGTACATAGGAGAGTGGAACATAGGAGGGTGGAACATAGGAGAGTGGAACATAGGAGGGTGGAACATAGGAGAGTGGAACATAGGAGAGTGGAACATAGGAGGGTGGAACATAGGAGAGTGGTACATAGGAGAGTGGAACATAGGAGAGTGGAACATAGGAGAGTGGAACATAGGAGAGTGGAACATAGGAGGGTGGAACATAGGAGGGTGGAACATAGGAGAGTGGTATAAAGGAAAGTGACACATTGGATAGTGGAATACAGGAGAGTGGAAAAAAGAAGAGAGAACATAGGAGAGTGGAATAAAGAAGAGAGAACATAGGAGAGTGGAACACAGGAGTATGGAACACATGAGTGTGGAACATATGAGAGTAAAATATAGGGGAATGGAACATACCTGCGAAGGAGAATGATGATCATAATGGTAGCGATAGCCATGCACAGGATGACAGCCACGATGGAACCAGCAATGATGCCCACCGGAGTGCTGAAGGCTGAAATTATCAAGGGGAAACTGATTCTCTGACATAAGAACCACATCCGGTAGTATAGCAACAAACCAATATAGCAACCAACCAAATATACATCCACCTATCTATCTTTCCCTCCATCCAACAACCAAAAAGCAACCAAAAATTTGAACACACAGCTGATGTCATATCTCCATCTCTGACAATTCTCAGATCTTTCTTTCACAGGTGTTTCTTCTCTCTTTGCAGGCTAACCACACACTGATACTTTGCTTTGCTTAAACTCCGTCTTTAAAAAAAAGTGGTGACAAACAGAGCCATATCTTGTCCACTTCTAGATGGATTTACGGTAATAAAATCTGCTGTTTATTCTGTGACCAGTTTCACCCAGGCATACTTAATACTAGGATGGCAATGAAAGAAAGCAGACAGCTGGGGCACATGATAAGACAGACACACAGCACATGAAACAACAGCTGGAGCACAAGGGAAGACTGCTGGGGCACAGGACACAACAGATGGAGCACAGGACATGACAGATGGAGCACAGGACAAGACAGATGGGCCACAGGGGAAGACTGCTGGGGCACAGGACAAGACAGATGGAGCACAGGACAAGACAGATGGAGCACAGGACAAGACAGATGGAGCACAGGACAAGACAGATGGGGCACAGGACAAGACAGATGGGCCACAGGGAAAGACTACTGGGGCACAGGAGAAGACTGCTGGGCCACAGGAGAAGACAGATGGGGCACAGGAGAAGACAGATGGGGCACAGGACAAGACAGATGGGGCACAGGACAAGACAGATGGGCCACAGGGAAAGACTACTTGGGTGCAGGAGAAGACTGCTGGGATGCAGGAGAAGACAGATGGGGCACAGGAAAAGACAGATGGGGCACAGGAGAAGACAGATGGGGCACAAGAGAAGATAGCTGGGGCACAGGAGAAGACAGATGGGGCACAGGAGAAGACAGATGGGGCACAGGAGAAGACAGATGAGGCACAAGAGAAGATAGCTGGGGCACAGGAGAAGACAGATGGGCCATAGGAGAAGATAGCTGGGGCACAGGAGAAGCAGATGGTGCCGGGGAGAAGATAGCTGTGCCACAGGAGAAGACAGATGGGGTCCAGGAGAAAACAGATGGGGTTACAGGGAAAGACAGATGGAGCACAGGGGAAGACAGATGGAGCACAGAAGATGACAACTAGAGCTAAGGAAAAAATAGCTAGAGGACAGAGGAAGACAAATGGTGCATGACCCAAGACAGACTCAGCATAGTAGAACTAATACACTTACAAGTTGTAAATCTGAAACAAGAGTACCAAATACGCACATGCTAGCTGTGAATTCAGCACCCCCACCCACCACACACACCCCTACAATACTTACATTCTTTCTGCCCAGTCTGAACAATTAGTGGTTCGCTGAACTCCCCCCAGCCACTGTTTGTGGTCTCACATCGAACCTGAAAGGGAAGTGTTCATATCTCAGCAAGGATTCTCAAACAGTACAGCACGACACACATAGACAGACAAATTACAGCACACACAACTGTAGGATGCAGTGGGAGATCCATGGTATAGTAGCTAGCACACTGACATGCTGGACTTGTGGTCATGTGTTTGTATCTGAAGTCAGGCATGTTTAACAGGACCTGGATTCCCAGGTTGTACCAGCCTAAAACAGGAAATATTTTAGGCAGCAATGTGGCCAACATGTAGCACCATATACCCAGTCCATATTATGGGGGGAAAAAAAATCCTTGTCTTCCATAACTGGTATAGTATGAAGCTGAAACACAAATGCAGAAACATACAGACAGACAACTGATAGAGACAGACATAGACAACAGAAACAGAATACAATTATAGAATGCCAAAGAAAGCATTCATTTTCACAGTTTTTTTCCCTGACAGCATAAAAGTAGAGCTGTCAGTGTTAAGCGAGAGGACAAATGTTTAGTCAGGGGACAACTGAGACCACATGTTTCAGGTGGTTCCAGTTAAACATCAACAAAAAAATTGTTGTATCTAACTAGACTGGAATTGTGGCCATTCTAAGAATTACCTTTTTACCATGTCTTGTGGTCCCATAGAGAACTAACCATATACCATTTATTGTGATCTCAAAGAGAACTAGCCTTTTTAGTCTTGTGGTCCCACAGTGAACTAATCATATGCCATTTCTTGTCGTCCTACACAGAGCTAACCATATATCATGTCTTGTGGTCATGCACAGAGCTAACCATATACAACATTTTATGGTCCCACAGAGAACTAACCACATGTAATTTATGTGGTCCTGTAGAGAACTAACCATATATATCAGGGCTTGTGGTCCCAGAGCAAACTAACTATATGACGTTTCTTGTGGCCCCACAAAGAGCTAACCATATACCATGTCTAGTGGTCCTGTAGAGAACTAACCATATGACATTTCTTGTGGCCCCACAAAGAGCTAACAATATACCATGTCTTGTGGTCCCAGAGAGAACTAACCTATACCACATCCTATGATCCTACAGAGAACTAACCATTTACCATTTCTTGTGATCCAATAAAGAAAAAACTATTCACTATTTTACTGTGGTCATTGTGAGAAATAAACACACAGAACTGTGGCCATGTTGAACACTATAAATACAATAATCGTTCTAGTCCCACCAAGAACAAGACATACAATAATTCTTTCAGTCCCACCAAGAACAAGGCATACAATAATTCTTCTAGTCCTAACAAGAACTAGACATACAAAACAAACAGCCAGAAGACAACACAAAGAGCAAGAGAGAGACTGACAGAGATAGACCGAGAATGAGACAGTGTGTGATAGAGCGAGAATGGTTCCAAGAAAGAGAGACAGAAAGCATGAGAGAGTGAGAGACAGAGAGAGAGACACAGAGAGTGAGAGACAGACAGAGAGGGATAGAGACAGGGAGAGAGAGAGATAGAGACAGGGAGAGAGAGAGATAGAGACAGAGAGACAGCAACAGAGAGAGAGAGAGACACACACACACAGATGGTGACAGAGAGAGACAGAGAGTGAGAAATAGAGAGAAACAGTGACAGAGAGAGAGAGAGAGAGAGATAGAGAGAGAGATAGAGAGAGAGACTTGCCTGGAATTCATACTCCGTGTCCAGCATAAATTCAGTGATGGTCAAGTTCTGGACAGTTGTGTACTCTCTGATCTCGTTCTGCCCCTGGGATTTGGGGTAATACTTGACTTCGTACCTCAGCACCGAGTTCTGAGAGAGAAACAACAACCTGTGATCACATGTGACTGAAGGAGACTATTATATAACACATTTACATGTAGGTCATGTAGCTGAGAACTCCCCCCCCCCCTCCCCCCACCCCAGGAGTAGCGGCCTGAAAAATGGACACAGAGTGACTTAAAGAGTTCCCAAATCTCAAAGGAGCTAATTCCAGACACCCAGTTTAACCTTATAAAACAGTAATGTTTAGTACCAAAGGGTGAAAAATGTAAACTGCTCTTTAATGTGGGTGGCAAAAACCAGATATGATTAGGAAATCAAATGTCTGCATGGAGAGAGAGGAGGAGGAGGAGAGAGAGAGAGAGGGTGGGGTGGGAGCGAGTGAGAGAGGGAGTAGGGAGGGTTAGGTGAGCCGGGGAAGAGGCAGAGAGTGGCATAGGAGGGAGGGAGAGGGGGAGAGAGAGTAAAGGGAGTACACAGGGTGGCGTGGGAGGGAGGGAGAAAGGGGAAAATAAAAAGAATGGAACGAACAAACGAACGAACGAACTTTATTTTCAAAGGGTTACAAATTAGGCACGTAGGCCTGTCTTACATTCGGCCCTTCCAAACTTCATCTTTCACACAGCAGTTGTATTTCATCAATGAAGCATGTTATATTCATGTAATGATATGCATATTATGGATATGAAGTCAAAAACAACAGCATGGGTGGTAAAATATGTGCACACGCTCACGCGCGAACACACACACCCACATACACACACAAGCCCAATCACTCACTTACACACAAATACATAGGCACTCAGTACACACATACATCCACATACACACGAACATGCACACACATACATAAATACACACATACGTACGTACATACATACAAACTCACATACATACAAACCCACATACATACATACAAAAATACATACACACATACATTCACACGCTCTAAAACACACACACGCATACAACCCAGACACATACAGACACACATACACATGCAGTCACGGGCACACACAAACACATACACACACAAAAGCAGGGAGACAGACACACACATAGACATACGCAACACCCACACATACACAGATATACACACACAGACACGCACAGTCACACACACGCCCACAGACATACACGCAGACGCATAACCCAACACAAGCAGAGACACGCATGGAGACAAGACAAGACAATCAAGGGTCTGCATAAACAGCAGACAGTTCAAAGAGTGTCATATGTCAGAGACCAGCACACCCCAACATAACAGATAAACCTCTCAATCATCTCCCATTTAAATCCAACCTATCCTCAATCATTCCCCAATAACGTCCCACCTATTATCAACATCATCCATGTTTTATGCATTCCCAACAGCATCACACAATAGACATTTGTGTATCGCTGAGCGCATCCCAACTCCTCCAGGGAGACAACAAATACATTTGATGGCAAACAAATACGGAGAAATAACCGCGGGACAAGGAGGACATAAAACTTGCCACTTGTGATATTTGCCCGGGAAATGACATAATCTTCTGAGAGCCTGAAGATAAATGGCCGGCTTCGTGTGGGGTAGCAAGGTCTCATTGTATCTACACTTAGGCAGGGGAAGGTAATCAGTCTCCTGGTATTTGTTCGATTTGTTACGGTTAACTCCCTTGGGATGATCGTCCATTAAACAAATGTTTCTATGCCAGTTTATGTATGGCGATTGCGTCGCCGTGGTGTAGTGACTAGACGCTCGACTGTTGATCTAAAGTCGTGGGTTCGGGTCCTAATGCAGCTGGACTGTTTTTTTTTTTTTTGGAAGACCTTGGCTCTCAGGTCGACCCAACCTTAAAAGGTTACCAGGTAAAAACTTGGAAAGTAAAGGCGGCCGGCAAGATATTGACCATTTTACCAACTGTGTGCCAATTGGTCTAAAAAATACAGGTCTACCCCCATATGCCCAGTACCTAAGAAGGCGTGGAAAGAGGGTTTTACATTAATATTCATTATGTCAACATAAGTAGAATCTTAGAGTGTGGGTTGTGTAGCCAGAGACTGGAAGAGTTGATGGGGAATGGTAACTATAGACTGGGAGTCTTGATGGGGAATGGTAACTATAGACTAGGAGTCTTGATGGGGAATGGTAACTACAGACTGGAAGTCTTGATGGGGAATGGGAACTGCAGACTGGGAGTCTTGATGGGGAATGGGAACTGGGGACTGGGAGTCTTGATGGGGAATGGTAACTATAGACTAGGAGCCTTCATGGGTAATGGTAACTATAGACTGGGAGTCTTGATGGGGAATGGTAACTACAGACTGGGAGTCTTGATGGGGAATGGTAACTACAGACTGGAAGTCTTGATGGGGAATGGCTGCAGACTGGGAGTCTTTATGGGAAATGGGAACTGGGGAATGGAAACTGGGGAATGGAAACTGGGGACTGGGAGTCTTGATGGGGAATGGTAACTGCAGACTGGGAGTCTTGATGGGGAATGGGAACTGCAGACTGGGAGTGTTGATGGGGAATGGTAACTACAGACTGAAAGTCTTGATGGGGAATGGGAACTGCAGACTGGGAGTCTTGATTGGGAATGGAAACTGGGGAATGGGAACTGGGGACTGGGAGTCTTGATGGGGAATGGTAACTGCAGACTGGGAGTCTTGATGGGGAATGGTCACTATAGACTTGGAGTCTTGAACAGTAAACATAGTGTATTTGTGGCACAGCCATAGACTGTGAGACATAATGGAGAGCTGCTACTCATGTGGGTGTTGACTGGGAGACTTAAGAGAAATTAATGATGATGTGTGGGAGGGTTTCCTTGACTGGGAGACTTAAGGGAGAACTGTAACCCATTTGGTTGTTGTACCCATAGCTGGGAGACAAGGGAGAACTGTAACCCATTTGGTTGTTGTACCCATAGCTGGGAGACTTAAGGGAGAACTGTAACCCATTTGGTTGTTGTACCCATAGCTGGGAGACAAGGGAGAACTGTAACCCTGATGTGTGGGTGTTGTGCCCATAGACTGGATGACTTAAGGTGTAATGGTAACTCTGGTGTGTGGGTGCTGTTCCCATAGACAGGGAGACACTAGGGAGGACCATAACATTGATATTTGGTGTTGTACCCTGGACTGGGAGATTTAAGGGAGAACTGTAACCCTGGGGTGAGGGTCTTGTTTTCTAGACTGGGAGACTTAAAGCAGAACTGTAACCCATGTGGGTAAAGCCATCACATGTGGATGTGAAGTCAAGGAGTAAGCCACCACACAATCTACTGAAGAATGATGTGCTGACAACAACAGATAGCTGGCATGCACTAGCCAACAAAGAGTCACTGACTGACAGATAGCTGGCATGCACTAGCCAACAAAGACTGACAGACTGACTGACAGATAGCTGGCATGCACTACAGATAGCTGGCATGCACTAAACAAAGAGTCACACTGACTGACAGATAGCTGGCATGCACTAGCCAACAAAGAGTCACTGACTGACAGATAGCTGGCATGCACTAGCCAACAAAGAGTCACTGACTGACAGATAGCTGGCATGCACTAGCCAACAAAGAGTCACTGACTGACAGATAGCTGGCATGCACTAGCCAACAAAGAGTGACTGACTGACAGATAGCTGGCATGCACTAGCCAACAAAGAGTCACTGACTGACAGATAGCTGGCATGCACTAGCCAACAAAGAGTCACTGACTGACAGATAGCTGGCATGCACTAGCCAACAAAGAGTCACTGACTGACAGATAGCTGGCATGCACTAGCCAACAAAGAGTCACTGACTGACAGATAGCTGGCATGCAATAGCCAATAAACAGAGTCACTGACTGTCAGACAGCACATAAGCACTAGCCAACAAAGAGTCACTGACTGACAGATAGCTGGCATGCACTAGCCAACAAAGAGTCACTGACTGACAGATAGCTGGCATGCACTAGCCAACAAAGAGTCACTGACTGACAGATAGCTGGCATGCACTAGCCAACAAAGAGTCACTGACTGACAGATAGCTGCATGCACTAGCCAACAAAGAGCACAGATAGCCAACAAAAGAGTCACTGACTGACAGATAGCTGGCATGCACTAGCCAACAAAGAGTGACTGACTGACAGATAGCTGGCATGCACTAGCCAACAAAGAGTCACTGACTGACAGATAGCTGGCATGCACTAGCCAACAAAAAGTCACTGACAGATAGCTGGCATGCACTAGCCAACAAAGAGTCACTGACTGACAGATAGCTGGCATGCAAAATTTTATAGACAAAGAGTCACTGATGACAGATAACTCAGCAAAGAGGGTGATGTGGTCAAAATCACACTGGCCCCTTTACTTCCCAGGACGGATGATATCTGTTGCCTACTCAAAGCTGGCATCCCCTGGGAGTCAAGGTAATTCTATGTCTCTAGTACAGTGCAGACCACTTAAGGCGATCCCGGATGTGGTGAATTTCTGTTCTGAAGAACAATCTGTTCATTGGAGGTCATATTTCTTGCTTGAATTTGTTTGTGGATAAAAATACTTTCTGATAAGAAAAACCACTTCTTGGGTCCCATGGAGTTCCCCTTATAAGTTCTGCACTAGTCGAACAATTACTAATCAGTATATATAGGTAAAATGAAATCTCTCATGTGCCAGGTGATACGCCTCTTCTATTTGTTTGCACCCCCCCAACAGATAAAAATACTGCCCAGAGAAGAGTGCCTCTACTTACATCCATGCTGTCCTGTCTGTACAACCAGCGGTTCGCTGAACTCTCCCCATCCGAACTCCGTCTGGGCGCGAACCTGCAACAACAGGAAGTTGGGCAATTCTGTCAAACTAGAACAGTATAAGTAAAACATTTCTCTCTCTCTCTCTCTCTCCCTCTCTCTCTCTCCCCCCCCCCCCCCTCTCCCTGTCACCTATCAGTATCATTAGCAAGTACATCGATGTCCCTGCTCGGCATGTGCTTGTCTGACTGGATGTTCTCAACCAGGTCTCTTTGGCATCCACTATCCTCCTCTCCGTGGTGGTTGGCTGGCAAACGGATGAAGATGATCATATCTTTCCATTAAAAAAAATCACAGAAAACCAACAAGCCACCTGCATCAATCACCCAGCCTGCTATGCATCGCAGCAGTTTCTCCACACCCAACCTGCCACATGTCCCAGCAGTTTCTCCACAGCCAACCTGCCATGTGTCGTAGCAGTATCTTCACACTCAACCTTCCACATGTCCCAGCAGTTTCTCCACACCCAACCGGCTACAATTCCCAGCAGTGTCTCCACACCCAACCTGCCACGTGTCCCAGCAGTTTCTCCACACCCAATCTGCCAAGAGTCCCAGCAGTGTCTCCACACCCAATCTGCCAAGCGTCCCAGCAGTGTCTCCACACCCAATCTGCCATTGTCCCAGCAGTGTCTCCACACTCAATCTGCCATTGTCCCAGCAGTGTCTCCACACTCAATCTGCCATTGTCCCAGCAGTGTCTCCACACCCAATCTGCCATTGTCCCAGCAGTGTCTCCACACCCAATCTGCCAAGAGTCCCAGCAGTATCTCCACACCCAATCTGCCATTGTCCCAGCAGTGTCTCCACACTCAATCTGCCATTGTCCCAGCAGTGTCTCCACACTCAATCTGCCATTGTCCCAGCAGTGTCTCCACACCCAATCTGCCAAGAGTCCCAACAGCATCTCCACACCCAATCTGCCAAGAGTCCCAGCAGTGTCTCCACACTCAATCTGCCATTGTCCCAGCAGTGTCTCCACACTCAATCTGCCATTGTCCCAGCAGTGTCTCCACACTCAATCTGCCATTGTCCCAGCAGTGTCTCCACACTCAATCTGCCATTGTCCCAGCAGTGTCTCCACACTCAATCTGCCATTGTCCCAGCAGTGTCTCCACACCCAATCTGCCAAGAGTCCCAGCAGTATCTCCACACTCAATCTGCCATTGTCCCAGCAATGTCTCCACACCCAATCTGCCAAGAGTCCCAGCAGTGTCTCCACACCCAATCTGCCATGTGTCCCAGCAGTATCTCCACACCCAATCTGCCATGTGTCCCAGCAGTGTCTCCACACCCAATCTGCCATGTGTCCCAGCAGTATCTCCACACCCAATCTGCCAAGAGTCCCAGCAGTATCTCCACACCCAATCTGCCATGTGTCCCAGCAGTATCTCCACACCCAATCTGCCAAGAGTCCCAGCAGTATCTCCACACCCAATCTGCCATGTGTCCCAGCAGTATCTCCACACCCAACCTGCCATGTGTCACAGCAGTATCTCCACACCCAATCTGCCAAGAGTCCCAGGAGTAACTCCACACCCAACCTGCCATGTGTCCCAGCAGTATCTCCACACCCAGTTCAGGTAAACAAAAAGGCAATTCCTGGTGAATTCCGCGCGGCTTTGATCTGCATATTTATAGCATCAATCAACAAACAATAAATCGGCACAGACCGCCAGTGACCGCCCCGCTCTATGTCTTCTCCAAGCTGTTGAGTGCATGCCCCCATTCATCACCACATGACCTTGACGGACTCAGAACTCGATCTATACTTCCTCTTTCTTCTTCTTCTTCTTCTTCTTCTTGTTCTTGTTCTTGTTCTTGTTCTTCTTCTTCTTCTTCTTCTTCCTTCTTCTTCTTCACCCTCCTCCTCCTGGTCTTCCCTTGTTAACTCCCCATTATCAACATCATCACTGTCTTTTCCTACATGCATACACAATTCTCAACCTATTGAAAATAACGTCCGTTCTTTTATTCGTCACTCTCCTCTTCTCTCTTTCCATCGAGCGAGTGAAATCAAGAGAGCGATAAAGAGCAAGAAAGAGAGCGAGAGAGGAAGAAGAAGCAGTAGAAGAAGAAGAAGAAGAAGAAGAAGAAGAAGAAGAAGAAGAAGAAGAAGAAGAAGAAGAAGAAGAAGAAGAAGAAGAAGAAGAAGAAGAAGAAGAAGAAGAAGAAGAAGAAGAAGAAGAAGAAGAACAACAACAACAACAACAACAACAACAACAACAACATCAAGAAAATATTACGAAACCTTTAGTACAGAAAATACGCGTATCTGTACTACCTTGTTTCAACTAGCGATCACAAACTACCAGTATTCCAGTATCGTGCCTCCGTACCAACTCCTAGCGATCACAAACTACCCCTCCCCCCCCCCCCACCCCCCCCCCCCCCCCCCCCCCCCCAAAAAAAAACGGCCTCACAATAGTAGTCTTATTTCTCCAGACTTCACTATTCGCTCAATGAGATGCACTGTGTTCCTTGCAATCAGGAGATATTGCCTCTCCTTCTTGTACTTCTATTGTTGGTTAGTCACGTGAAAAACCCGCACTGACCCTGTCCATTCTCTGGCGAAAAGAAGCTGGACAATGCAGGCCTTCTGTTGGCCGGAGGCAAGACAAATCCCGCAGAGAATGACAATTGTGAGAGGTTTAAAAAGTGCTAAATTTATGGCTCTATGGAGAAATATGAAATGTGTCTGCTAGCCCTCAAGTCCGATGATTTATTGGGAATATTGCGATTTTTATCGGAATCTCATTGGAATTTTCCTCAATCGAGTTTCCCAGGAAGAGTTTTCTCCCCTCGCTACGTGATTAAATGGATTCTGTCCCCTGAAATGAATGCGCGATAAAATGGCGTTTCCTAAACTTTGACAAATGCATTTACTTCAAAACCAGCGACCAACAACGTGATTGTGGATGTTGGTGCAGGGAAGCGATTGCATGACCGCTCACTCTCTCACTCTCACACACACGCACCCACGCGCGCGTCCAGATTCAGAGTCGCACAGGACGGGAGTCACCGGGACATGCAAGCCGAGAACCGTGTCTTCCTCTTCTACAGTAACACCAATAAACAAAACACATAAAGGTAACAAATGTTTACTGGACTGCAGATTACTTTGTAACCATTCTTCTTCTTCTTCTTCTTCTTCTGCCTTCCTAATCCCCAATGAAGCATAGGCCCTCAACCAACTCACGCCAAGTCGTTCTATCCTTTGCTATCGCGTGCAGCTCTCCCTCACGTCCTCACAATCTTTAAAACTTCCTTCTCTGTTCCTTTCTCCGTGTTTTGTGTGTGTGTGTGTGTGTGTGTGGGGGGGGGGTCATCCTTTATTCCTATGCCCCTGGGGGTTCCAGTGAAAAGACATTCTAGTTATATTGTTCTCTGGTTTTCCTTATTCCTGTCCTATCCAACGCCAGCGTCTTTTCTTTACCTCTTGGTCCACTCGAGCTTGCTTAGCTCTCTCGCAAAGCTCCACTTTTTTTTTTACGACAGAAGGGCTTTGATGTAACAGTTATACGTCTGAACGGGTTTCTGGGATTTGTTCCGGTCTGATTCTCGTTTTCGAGGTGTTGATCCTAAGGTCAGGAAACCTGAACGGGAACAAGGACACCCCACCCCTGCCCCTTATTTTCCCACAGACAGACAGATAGACAAATAGATATATAAATAGACAGAGAGAAGGAGACACTATGGTCTATGACACCCCCTCCCCTCACTTCCACAGATAGATAGGTCAGGGGTAGATGACAGGACGGCAACAGCACTGGACCATTGGTCAGCAATAAGGAGCAGCATCACTTGACCACTGACCAGAGGTAGATGATAGTATCAATCGACCACTGGTCAGCGACATATGGCAGTAGCCCTCGACCACTGGTCAGTGACAGAGGGCAATATAACTCGATCACTGGTCAGAGGTAGACGACAATATTACTCTACCACAGGTCAATGGTAGAGGGCAGTATCATTCGGCAATTGGTCAGCGATAGAATGCAATATAACTCGACCACCAGTCAGCGACGGGGGGCATAATTCGACCACTGGTTATCGACAGATGGCAGGGGCATACCTCGACCTCTGGTCAGCGATAGAAGGCAATATAACTCGACCACTGATCAGCGACAGATGGCAGCAGCACTCGACCACTGGTCAGCGATAGACAGCAATACCATTGGTCAACAAAAGACGACAGTAAGACGCATCACCCGACCCTGGTGATCGACTGAAGCAAACAACAAACACCACTTGGCCACAGGTCAGCGTGAAATCTCCAGAGGCCACGTGAGCTGCACTCTGTAAGAAAGACTCAGGCCCAGCGGCCAATCTATGGGCGAGTCCAGTGTCAGTGCCCTGGTGGCGTGAGCAGAAAATTCCAGAACAAGTGGTCGCCCCGGTCACTCGTACTCCATGATCACTGGCCGAGGCAAATACATCCTGTCTCACAACCACTTGGTCCATTGACTAACCTGTCCAAACATGGGACACAATTCTGTGACATTACAGCCACACCCAGGCTGGACGCAGTCGCCATGGTGTAGCCGCAAGAGGCTCACCTGCGGATCTGACGGTCTTGGGTTCAGGTCCTGAGTCGAACTGTTTTTTTTTTTTTAATGACCCTGGCTCCTAACCTTGAGTGGGTAACAGGTGTAGTCTTGGGAAGTAAAGGTGACCGGCATTTTGCTGACTACATCTCTCACTAAGTGCCGATTGGTCTATAAATATAGCTCTAGACTATATGCCCAATACGCCTAAAGGCATGGAAAAGGGACGGTTAGTTACTTACTAGGCTGAACTTCACAGTTTACCTCGTAACTGTCCTGGGCCTCTAATATAACCTTTCAGTTGAACGCGGTTTCTTTGACGAGACCTGAGGGGATACTCATCGGACTAGTGGCACATTGCACTTTGCGTCACAGGGTGTTAATCGCTCTGTGTGTGATCCTAGTGGCGTACATCTTCACCTACTCCTTCCTCTCCCTAAAGTCCATGCCGTGTTGCTTTGGTAGTCAT